ATATAAATGAAGCCACATATTTTTGGAGAACAGTCATTCCAAGTTCTGAAAGATTTAATTATTTTCTACAGACAACTCTGCCTTTAGTGGCAGAGTTACAGCTCTCTTAAAAGCTTTTCCACTTCTGCCAGACGTGGTGGCACATGCCTTTAATCCCAGCACTCGGGAGGCAGAGGCAGGTGGATCTCTGTGAGTTCAAGGCCAGCCTGGTCTATAGTGAGTTCCAGGACAGCTGGGGCTACAGGGAGACCCTGTCTCAAAAAGACCAAAAAAAAAAACAAAAACAAAAACGCTTTTCTACTTCTTTCAAATACAGAGACTTTCTCATTCACTAAATGTAAAGATTAACAGAGAAGGCAAAATAAAATTTTGGACTACAGAAACATGTTTTCACACTTTATTACTGACTAACTATAACCTTAGCCGAGTCATTTCCCTTCTCTGAGCTTTTGATTCAACTTTAAAACAAAGGAGTCAGTCCATCCAGTAGAGCTAATGCCCTCTTTGGATGGAAGAGGAGGGGAAGGGAGAAGAGGAAGGAAAGGAAGAGGAAGAAGAGGAGGAAGAGGAGAAGGGGGGAAGGAAGATGTAGCTGCAGCAAATGATCTAAGACTCCTTCTGATTCTCACATGGTAGGAGTCTATACTTCTGCAGTAATTCCTAATTGATAATATTCCATAATAAAGAGAAGTGATACAAATCAAAATAGTACAAATGAACAAAACCTCACCAGTCAGAAAAACCCATGTTCAAAGTCCAATCCCCTAAACTTTACTGACTCGTTCCTCTTCAGTTACATAACCATAGCGTTAAAACCAAATTAATTGCCGGGCGTGTGGTGCATGCCTTTAATCTCAGCACTTGGGAGGCAGAGGCAGGCTGATCTTTGTGAGTCTGAGGCCAGCTGGGGCTACAAGGAGACCCTGTCTTAAAAAGACAAAAAAAAAAAAAAATTAATAAAGGTTACATAGAAATTACCTTCAAATTACATTATAAGCCAGTGAAAATATATTAAGTCTATGCCTTAGTTTTTGTACATTCTAAGTTACAGTATTTTCATTCTACATTCAAGATGTTCTAGCTGAGACAAGGCTGTTTAATATTCTTGCATTTCTAAATTCTAGTAAAATAAAGATAAAGCAGAATATTAATAATTACCATAGTCTGTCAAATTTCTCATAAAAATATGTTGAATACTATTTTTCACACTAGAAAAGCAAGTAAAAGTAAAATTCTGCGGACAATGCTGATCTAATCAAATAACTCTATCTGCCATTACTTAAAAAAAGAGGAGATGCTAGCAGAAAGGTTCTTAGGGAATACTGAACCATGACATTTCAGCAGCTTTTCTGAAAAATTAATGTACCATGAAGCCGTACTTTGCTACTAGTGCAGTGCAAATTGGTTTTTCAGTATCTAACTGTGGGCAGCAAATGAGGCACTTAACTGCAAAATAGAAAAATAAGAAGAAAACTTCTTTCTTTGTTCACAAACTATGGCTGGAGAGATGGCTCAGCAGTTAAGAGAGCTTGCTCTGTGGGAGAAGTGGAGTCCAGATTCCAGTCCCCACATTGGCTCACAAATGCTGTTAATTCCAGCTCCAAAGATATGTTGTCTGTTCTGCCTTATGTGAGCACATGCACACAGACATACACACACAGACAGACAGACACACACACACACACGCACACACATACATGAATCTTTTTAAAAAAGAATTGCAAAATCACAAAAGATAATTATCATTAATCAAAAGTTAAAAATTCAAAATTCAACTTTTATTCAACATGCAGTCAATGCTACACATGCCTCACTAGAAGAATCTCTTCAAAGATAAGACTATTTTGCTTATTTAAAAAAACGGAAAACATTTCCTCTCCAAGGGATTCTGGATTTCTGAGAATGGATCCAAGTCTTTTCAACCTGAGTGCTATTTATTTATAAACTGAGAAGAATACAGCTGGCCAACTGCAGAAATGTTGTTTCTGTCAACAAAGAATATCATGTGATCCTCAACTTTATTTTTGTAGGATCAGAACTTTTTATTTTATATAATTTAAATGAAGGGGCTCTAATGGCTATAACAGAATAATTAATGGCATTTAGCATCTAGGTTTAGATAATACAAGTATTGCCAGAATTTTAAACTGTTGCTTGTCTATAATTGGGGAAATCAGATATGTGCTTTTTAATATATTAGAGCATTCTAAAAGACATAATACCAAGCTTCCAAATATTACCTTTGATTTATAGATGTACCTACCAACAAGATCCAAGCACAATTTTATTTCTTCATGAAGATACATATATATATTCTGCAAGCGAGGTTTATTTTTTTCTTAAATGCCATTAAATTGTCTTTCAAATATGGCACTTAAGAAAGAAAATCACTCCTACTCCATCAGTAGTATTATTTTAAATGTTTTTCACTCTGGGGCAAAGGTCAAAGTGAAGTAAGGGTTGAGCTAAAGCTCAGTGGTACAGTGCTTATCTAAGATGATAAGGCCTTGAATGCTCCCCATGGCTACACAAAAAAATGGAAAATGAACAGCCTGGACCTTTTGCTGAAGTATATATAAAAATAGAAGCAAAAGCTGGACATGGTGGCACACACCTTTAATCCCAGCACTTGGGAGGCAGAGGCAGGTGGATCTCTGAGTTCAAGGCCAGCCTGGTCTAAATAGTGAGTTCCAGGACAGCTGGGGCTACAGAAAGACCCTGTCTCAAAAAGACAAAAAAAAAAAAAGCAAGAACATAGAAGATGAACATACATTGATTTCTGACAAAATATTTCTTCCCAATATATTGGCACACAATGTTTATCATAAAGCACAGTAAAAAAAAAAAAAAAAAAAAAAAAAACAAAAAAAGCACATGATTAAAAGATAAACATTTGAGCAGCGATATTCCAAATGAATGAGGTCTTGTGTCTTCTTTCTTAAAAGCAAAGAGAAAAATTCTCGCCCATGTAAGTTTAATTTTTAATCCTGGATGGAACACTTCAAAACTGATCCACAAATTAGCTGATGTTTGTCATGAGGCAATTTAATCATCCCACTTAAGAATCTTATAATCAGGGGCTGGAGAGATGGCTCAGCAGTTAAGAACACTGACTGTTCTTGCAGAAGACCCTGGTTCGAATCCCAGCACCCACATGGCAGCTAACAACTGTCTGTAACTCCAGTTCCAGGGGATCTGATGGCCTCTTCTGTCCTCTGCGGGCATTCCACGACACAGGTGCACTTACTTACATGCAGGCATAACACTCATAACATAAAAATAATAAATAATATATATATATTAAAAATATAAGAATCTTATAATCAGATGCTGGAAAGAAAGAAACTTATAATCAGGGCTGGCGAGATGACTCAGAAGCACTGGCTGCTCTTTCAGAGGACCCAGGTTCAGCTCCCAGCACCCACATGGCAACATGGCAGCTAACAACTGTCCATAACTCCAGTTCCAGGGGATCTGATCCAACACCCTCTTCTGACCTCCATGGGCATTGTACAACATGTGTGTACTTACATACATGCAGGCAATATACTCATATACATAAAATAAAAATAACAAATAAAATATCTTTTTAAAAGAATCTAGGGGTCGAGGGATAGCTCAGTAGCAGACCACATGCTTAGCATTCCCAAGGCCCTGGGTTCAATTGCACCAGTTGAACCAGTTAGCAGAAAAAAAAAATTTTTTCTCTAAATTTTCTTATATAAGAAGGTTTTCCTTAACTAAGAGGAAAAAACATGGTTTTGGTTCAGGGAAGGAGCTATATTGCAAATGTCAACAGTTCACAACCTTATATTTGTCATGCCTTACATAATAAATACATTCCTTACTATATGATTCAGAAGAACCAACGTCTCCTAATTACATCACTAAGGTAAAATTTACTACTTTCTTTAAGAAACTATTTTTGAAAGGAAATAAGTACACAAAAGAAACATTATTGATGTAATTGTTAAGAAACAAAGTACATAAACCTTTTAACCTAAATACTGTTTAGTAAATTACAGTTAAATAGTAAAACCAAAATGAAGACAGCTCAATATCTCAAATCTGAAAAGTCTGAGACAAGAATCCAAGTTTTATATAAACAATAACAAGATGGGAAAAAGGGCTGCTCCCCTTCTAAAGAAAAGAAGCAACTGAAAACATTTTTAAGAAAACTGAAGTGAATTTCTGTTCCCCAAACCAGACATGCTATACAGTAACACCCACATGCAAAACCTGAAATGTAGAATCACATTCTGACTGCTGCCCTTCAACTTCTGCATTTAACTTACAGTTCTCTGGTGTCTGGCTAATTTCATCTTGTAATGCAGGAGATACACTTTGAGAGTCACCTACAGAAGCACTGTCAGGTGAGGCATCTAACTTTTCCAGGAGACAAGCTGGAAGCTGACTGTCACATGCCACTTCATCAGAATTAGTCTTCTCATCAGCATCATCTAGCTGCTGAACTGAAGTTAAGTACTGCTCGAGCAGATTACTATCCTGCTCGTTGTTGGAGCTTTCCTTACTCCAGTCACTGCGCTCCTCACTAACATCCTCTAAATCAAGGTCTTTGCCATATTTGACCGTGTCGATGGAATTCCCCAATATGGAACTTTCGCTGCCTTCTATGGAACTTTTTTCAAAATCCAAAGAATCCTGAAAACATTGAACTTGCTCTGTTATGGAGGAATGAAAACCAGAGTCTGGAAATTCTGGTATGGATTTCTCTTGAAGTGCTTCGTCCTGAGCAATGAGCCAACCAGAATTTTGAGCAGAAGAGGGATTCTGACTTTGGGGAAACAATGAAGGTTTAGGTGGACCGAGAGTACTTGATATAGGAGGAACATCAGCATGCCAGGAAATCAGATGCTGGTCCACGGTCTGTTGCCAAGCTTGTAGAGATCTTACCTGTAGTAAAGCAGGGAGATATAGTTTCCATGTAAGATAAAATCCTGTCTTTTAAAAATGTCCACTCAGCTTTTGTTCCAGCAGTCACGTAGTTGCATTCATTCATTTTTTTTTTCTTTTTAGAATTTTTTATGTATATGTGTGTATTGCCTGCATGTAGGTAAGTGCACCCGTGTCATGCAATGCCCGAGGAAGACAGAAGAGGCTGTTAGATCCCCTGGAACTGGAGTTACAGACAGTTGTTAGCTGCCACGTAGGTGCTGGAATTCGAGCCCGGGTCTTCTGCAAGAACAACCAGTGTTCTTCTTAACCGCCAAGCCATCTTTCCAGTCCCCACTCCCCTATCATTTTCACAGCACTTCCCACCAACCCAGGCAGGCATGTGTCCTTGGTAGCAAAGGGCACTCATCAACATAAAGGGGAAAGCCAGAGCAATTTTCCTGCTTCACTGGAAAAACCATGAACAATGCAATAACAGCTCATGTCTAGCTGACTACAAGGTCAATAATGTACAAAATATACACTGACATCTAATCAATAAGATCAATCAGAACCTAACAGTATAAGCAGATCCTCCCCCCCAAAAAAAAATCTATTTTAGATATCCATGCAAGCATAGACTTTTTCATATTATTTTGAAATACACTATAAACAGCCAGTTATGGTGGCACAAGCCTTTAATCCCAGCATACTAGAGGCACAGGCATGCAGATTTCTGAATGAATTTGAGGCCAGCTTTGTCTACATAGCAAAAACCCCCCAGGGCTCAAAAAAAAAACCTTTTCTAAAAAAAAAAAAAAAAAAAAAAAAGAAAAGAAAGTATTTCTAAATATTTCTAAAATGACTAAAAAATCCCAATATCCCAATAAAATAAATATTTTATTTATTATGTGTATGAGTATATTGCTTGCATGTATGTGAGCCCATGTCGTACAATGCCTTGGAGGTCAAAAGAGAGCTTTGGATTTCCCTGGAACTGGAGTTAAGGACTGTTTGTAACCGCCATGTGGGTGCTGAGAATCGAACCTGGGTCCTCTGCAAGAGCAGTTAGTGCTCTTAACCGCTGAGCCATCTCTCCAGCCCCAAGAAATAAGAAATATTTTTTAAAAGACACATGGCATAGATGGAGGAGGGAGAAAGCAATATATAGAATGTTTAGTTTTACTCTGACCATTCTCCAAGGTAATTTCTGATAGTAGGTCATTTCTTAAAGTATACTTTTTTCTTTGTATTTTCAATTATTCAGAGCTTTTTTAAAGAGTATTTTTAATTTTTAAAATTACACTTATTTATGGAGGACAACACACATATGCTGGCATGCATGTGGAGGTCAGAGAAAAGCTTATAGGAGTTGGTTCTCTCCTTCTACCATGTGGTCCCAGGGATTGAATTCAGGTTGTCAGGCTGGGTGGCAAGCACATTTACCCACAGAGCCATCTCATTGGTCCTCAGAGAGCTTTTAAAACCAGGTAGAACGCTAAGCTCTGCATCTTGCTGTCATTCCTTAGTATTATTTTGAAGATCTTTCCATGTCAGTCCATATGACTATCTTATGCTTTTAAATTCTCCCATAGTATTTTCTGTACGACGATACTGTCTAGTATTGTTATTTTTGTTTTGTTTTGTTTTGATCTTTTTGAGACAGGGTCTCCCTGTAGCCCCAGCTGACCTGGAACTTACTATGTAGACCAGGCTGGCCTCAAACTTAGAGATCTGCCTGCATCTGCCTCCCAAGTGCTGGGATTAAAGGTGTGTGCCACCATACCAGCTGTATTGTTATTTTTATAACTTATTTAACCACTTTCCTACTGATGGCAAATACAAAATCTTAAACATTAATCTTTTTTAATTGTACAGGTCATATCTAATTAAAACAAATTACTTGATAAAAATATTTCTAACTAATTACCATCAGGAAGTGCTTGATACAATACAATATTAGTAAAACTAAATGCTTAAATTGTTTTGGTTGCTTTTTTTCTAGCTTTATTTTGCTTTTTGTTTTTCTAAGACAGAGTCTTCATGTTGGCCTCAAACTTGCTATGTAGGCCTTGAACTTCTGATGTCTCTACCTTTGCCTCCTGAGTGCAGGGACTGCAGGCATGCCACACACCTGCTTAACCTTTCCTAGAGTGTTCCATTGTAGGATTTAAACCCTATCTCCCAGGCATTCCATGAACTTTTTAGGACATACATTACAAGCATCATATGCTGTCACAGTCACCTTTCACTCACAGTCCTGACAGCAGAGCTTCATGATGAACACCTGTGATCCCAGCACTGAAGAGTCTGAGGCAGGAGGATGATGAGTCTGAGATCAACCTGTGCTATTTAGCAAGACCTTGTCTTTAAAAAAAGAGGGAAAGGGTACAAATGTTCCCAGTAAACAGCTATGTAAAACGTTAAATTGCATTTTTTGTTATCGCTTAGAAAGTTCTAACATTTAGCAGGTGTGGTGGTATACACCTGTAATCCTAGCACTTGGGAGGCAGAAGTAGGAAGATATAGCAAGTCTAAGGCTAGCCTGGTCTACATAGTGAGACCTTGTCTAAAAAAAATCCCCAACAAAACAACTTTCCTTTGGCTTTAGACTACTAGCTCTCAAAATTTTGAAAGAAAAATTTCTTCTGATTAAACAAAATGTAACAAAATGCACTGTCATAGTTTAGGGTTAGTGGAAAAGAACACAAAACCACACCATTAACATTAGACAAGGTACTCAGGGCTAGGGATAATACCCAGTGGTAGAGGCCTTGCCTAGCACATGTAAAGCCTTAGGGTCCATCACCACCACCCCCCACTCAACCCTCCCCACCCAATAAAGGAGAAAGAAGTATTCTTGATTCTGCTTATTTCAAGGAATCTAGAATTTTCGTTTGTTCACATACATCAGGGAAATCAGCAGGATGGGTTTACCTGGTTCCAGAGGAATCTGACCGCTTCTTCTTGTACAAAATTCTTAGCACGTTCTTCATCTCTTTCTTTTCTTAATCTGCAAGGAATCAAAGCACTGTATTGACACAAAGAAGAGTACTTTGATTTGAAATTCCTGCTATGACTACTAAACAAATGCATTAGAAAGAGATTCATAACCTAGTAACAATTCTTTCTACTTTTAGAATATGTAAACTCAAACTTTATTTTTAAACGATGATTCAAAATAGAAGTCAACAGCTTTGGGGAGAAGAAGCAGGCAGATCCAGCCCAACCAGGGCTATGTAGTGAGACCCTGTCTCAAAAAGGAAAAAATATTAATAATAGAAGTAAAAAGTCATAATAGAAACCAAATGAGATGTTCTGAAATCTCAGATATTTATTCTACAAGTCTTGCCAACAGACCAGATGTGGTAGTGGCACATGCCTTTACTTACAGCACTTGGGAGACAAAGGCAAGTGGATCTCTGTGAGTTTGAGGCCAGCCTGGTCTATATAACAAGTCACAAGCCACCCAGGGCTACCTTGTCTCAACCTCTTCCCCAAAAATGAAAGGGGCTGCAGAGATGGCTCAGCAGTTAAGACCACTGGCTGCTCTTGCAGTGGACCTGGGTTCAGTTTCCAGCACCCACATGGCAGCTGATAACCATCTGTTGCTCCAGTTCCAGGGGATCTAACTCCCTATTCTAGAATCCTAAGACAATGCACACATATGGTGCACTTACATACAATTCAGGCAAAACACTCATACACATAAAAAGAAAATAATTTTTTTTTTGGTCTTTTTTGAGACAGGGTCTCCTTGTAGCCCCAACTGGTCTGGCTTTGTAGACCAGGCTTCCCTTGAACTCACAAAGATCCACCTGCCTCTGCCTTCCTTTGTGTATGCTACCATGCCCAACTTATAAATTTTTTTTAAAAAGTACTGCCAATAGAAAAATGTTTGTGCATGTATGTATATGTGCACTTATATATATGAATTAAACATCTCTTTACCTGCCCTTCAATTTCCCAGCCAAACATGCCAAAATGATAGGGGGCACAGAAAAGACTAGCTACTCCAAGCTTCCAAATAGTCAAGGATCAAGCTTAAGTTCTCAGAATCATAAATTGATAACTTTGTTCTAAGACTTTAGCAGAACTGATTCCAACACATCACTTTCCTGTTGGCCATGGTTCCGGATCACTCCTTGCTATCAACAAGCCCCCCACATCTATCTCTTGTTGCCATTCACTAGTCACTGAGCTCACTTATACATATCAATTCTTAGGCCTATTCCAAACCCAAGGTTTCCTTAGTTATCCATTACAGCTCAGAATGTCACTCCCACTTTGTTCCAAAGTTTGTTTTGTGTTGTAATCAGCAAACTCCCTTATAGACTCCACCTTTCTTTGAACTTTTCCTTGACTGAAACAGACCCATTTGTGTGAACACTAGTTTCCTCAAGTAGAAGCCTTTTTTTCTTTTCATGTATCAGAATCAGCAAATTGCTTCTCACTGCTATCCTGATAAATTCCTCAACTCTTTTTGCCAAGTACTAATCTCCCACTGCCCTCCCCCATCACTGCTGTCTTGGCACCAGTCTTCCACTCTACCCCATTCCTGTCTTTTCCTGAGGTGTCAACATTCAAACCAGATGCTTTACCTAACAATAATCTATCCTGTACCACCCACTGTCATAATCTCACCCTACTCCCAAACGCTTTGGCTTTCAAAACTTATTCCAGGAGGAATTCCAAGCCTAGCAACCTGAGTTCAGTCCCTGGAACCAATATAGTAAAAGGAGAGAACCAACTCCAAGTTGTCCTCTGACCTCCACTGTACACAAAGGTTGTGGCACATGTACACACACATACACACACACACACACACACACACACACACACACACACATACACAATAATTGTAAAAAAAAAAATTAAACAAAAACAAAAGACTTACTTGAAGCATCCAATACTAGCTACATGATATTCTCCTATCTCCTAGGCCATTTGCTCTAGTACCCAATACAGCAATCCAGGCCTGCAATCCAATGACCCTCACTTCCTGCCTTCACTTCCCTTCCACTTCATTTAAATTCCAAGATCTGGGGTTGGAGAGATGACTTAGCAGTTAAGAGCACTAGCTGTTCTTACAGAAGACCTGGGTTCAAATCCCAGGACCCACATGAAGGCTAACGATCATAACTCCAGTTCCAGGGGATCTGACACCCTCTCCTGACACACTCATACAATAAAAATAAATAAATAAATTCCAAGATGCATCATTACTACTCCCTCCCTGTATCTTCAGCTCCCTTGCTCTTCATTCTATCTCTACTATAGTTAGTTGCCAGGGGAAGGGGATAAATAAAAATTCTTGACTGAACCATGCCTGAACCTAGACATAAAAGCTGACCCTGGTGGTGCACGCCTTTAATCCCAGCACTGGGGAGGCAGACACAGGGGATCTCTGTGAGTCTGAGGCCAGCCTCACCTACCTAGCGAGTTTCAGGACAGTTGGAGCTACAGGGAGACTCTGTCTCAAAATAGACAAAAAAAAAAAAAGCTGAGAATCACTGAAAATGATATAATCTGCAGGATGTGGTGCTACATAACTTTGATCCCAGCACTTGGAAGGCAGAGGCATGCAGAGCTCTGAGTTCAAGACCAACCTGGTCTACATGAGGAGTTGCAGACCAGTCAGCACTACATACTGAGACACTGTCTTAAAAAAAAAAAAATCAAACAACCAGAAAGGATAGAAAGACAAGCAGATGAAAGAAAGGGAGGGAGGGAGGGAGGGAGGGAGGGAGGAAGGAAGGAAGGAAGGAAGGAAGGAAGGAAGGAAGGAAGGAAGGAAGGAAGGAAGGAAGGAAGGAACTGACACAACCCGATCTATGACCTATGTTCTGGTTTTGAGATGAGACGGCATTGTGTTAACCCAGGCCAGACTCAAGTAATCCTCTCACCTCCTGAGTAGCTGGGACTCCAGGCTTCTTAAGTTCATTTTTAAGGTGACACTCTCACATTCAGACTTCTCCCACCCCTCTGTCTAAAGTACTCACCATGACTGACACTTTACAGAACAGGAAGACAAGTCAGACAAGACTTTCCCACCCTCCTCCAATTGTGCCTAATTACCTGCCCCATGCCTACCTCTGGCCACATCCCCTCCTTGTGCACCAGATCTCTCTTTCACCTTCTCAACTTCGTTCCTGTACTTTGCCCTCCTTCCTCTGCATCATCAGTTGTTCCCTTATAATCATTTCCACTGACACATACACTCTTTAGCACCCAATTTTAGGAAAATGTTCTTTACCTACAGATTCCCCATCAGCAAGTGCCCAATTTCTTCCTCCTGTAAAGCAACATTGCCAAGGAGCTGGTGCCACTCATTTTTTAAACTCTTTACTTCCTTATTCACTATCCATTCCAGGTTAAAGCCACTCTTAAATGCACTGTGCAACGAAAGGCTAACTCAACAGGACTGGGATGTTCAAGTCCTGCATGTTACGAGCATAGGATAGAGAGGAAGGCATCCTCTGAGCCCTTGGAAAAAGACTTCCCAAAAAGACTATCTTTTATCTCTGTACATCTAGGGTCTTCAGTTGCAATGGAGTTTACACTAACAATGTGATTTCTAGTGAATACTCACTTTGTTCACCTGGGACCCTTGGCCCACATGTACCAGTTTACTTCTAGGGAATCTGAGATCTGAGGAAAGTCAGTCACATGAGCTCTCAATGCCTATGACTCCCTAATAAAAATCCTGGACCACAATGCTCAAGAGAGATTCTCTGGTTACCAGTAACTTATATCTGTGTACTTTTGCTGTAATAAACAGTAACCATAAACAGAACAATTTTCCTGAATTCTGTAAATCCATTTAGCAAATCATAGAACCTGATGACAATCTTGAGGGTCACCACACAGCCACCAATAACTGCCAATGGCTAAATCTAACATCTAGCTCTCTGTCCTCTCACCTCTCCTCAGACACCATGCCCTATTGGAACTGAACACAATATATTCTCCTGGCTGGCCGTTCTTGGCCTCTTTTGCTACTTTCTCCTGTTCTACCTAATAATAATAAATACTACTGGCTGAAACACTAATGAAATCCTAATTTTCCTAGGTTGGATCAGTAAAACATGTAAGCCATGAAACTGAAGATTAACTCCTACCTCAGTCCCGGAATTTTAGTCCTTTTGAATCCCTGCTATTTTCTCTAGCTGTTATGCCACGTGCTTGTTTCTATGTGAACTTCAATCTTCTTTTTTTTCCCCTTATCCAGTCTTTCTACAATATCTGTACTTATCTTTCTTTAGAACTATAGATGCCTATGTTGCTCACATTCATTGGACATCTTTTGTGATCCTACACCTATGTACCAATTGTGCTAGAAATGGAGATGGACATGACCATCTGTGCCTCGAGATGGTTCCAACACATCACAGGAGATACAGAAGTAAACTGGCCGTGGCCACCTGGTATGAAATATGTCATGACCACAGGCACTGAGTTCTGAAACAATTTAAGAACCCGGCACACCAAGCCAACAGAACAGCCCAGTTTCTCACCCACCTCCTTACTTCATCCATTAGACAGACGATATGCTCCTGCATTCTGCGTAGCCGGATTTCATAACGTACACCTTTGGCTTGTGGATTGTAGTTCCTGGTATAAAAACCCCGCCAAGAGGCCTGAAGCTTGGTGGCTGCTTTGTTCAGTTTCTGAAGGAAAACTTTATCTTGTCCCACAGCAACAGGTCTCTGGGTAAAACTCCTCCAGGGAAATTTCTCTGAAGTTGTTAGAGACATGGTTTCTTCACCATCTACCTCTGTATGAGAGACAATGTGCCCAGCTGACTCAGGAAAAGATGTAAGACTAGGGCTATTATCCTTCAAGACAGTGTTGATTATTGTTGACTTTGGACAAGGTAATAGTCCAACTTTCTCATTTACTTCTGTACTGATCTTACTTTTCAACATTTGAACAGCATTTTCATTTGTACCCCATAAAGATTTTTCTTCATCCTTATCCAAGTCCTGATTTTCCAGCCCTTTCACAGATTCATCTGCAATACCATCATCTTCTAGGTCCAAGTTAATGCCCTGTAGCCTCAGCTCCACAGTGGGTGATACTGGAGACAGTCCTGATGCAACTGGCATAAAAGTGGACTCTGAAGAGAGAAGACTACAGTTTAACTTGTCCTCGTCTGTCTGGATATCTTCCAGGTGAAGGTCATTTCGGGAATACCTTGTAGTGTGTGCAGAGGCTGAAAAGTTGCTCTTAACTGCATATAACTGATCATCATTACTGCTCATCCCAACCCAAGAATTGATTTGGATGACAGGTTCTAGAAAAATCAAGACAGCATCATTTAAATCACTAAGTATTTGAAGAGACTTCTTAGCTGTAGACTTTAAAAAGTTTTTGGTTTTTACGGGTTTTTTTTTTTAGATATATATGTGGAGGTCATGGGACAATTTGTGGAAATCAGTTCTCTCTTTCTACCATGTGGGATCCAGGAACCAAACTCAGGTTGTCAGAATTGGTGGCAAGTGCCTTCACCTGCTGAGCCATCTTAATGACCCTTAATTATATATTTTTAATGAAATCTAATCCCTGAAATATATTAAATACAATAAAATGCCTTCAGTGATTTCCTCTAACATGCCTAAAACATCAGGCCAAACATTTAAGAAAATGATTTGCTAAACTAAGAGTACTGGCTCATGCCTGTAGTCCTAATACTTTAGCAGCTAAGGCAAGAGAACTTCCGTTAGTTCAAGGCCAGCCAAGGATATCGTGTGAGATATACTGTCTCAAAAATCAAAAAACAGGGACTGAAGAGATGACTCAAGGGTTAAGAGCACTGGTTTCTCTTGCAGAAGACCCATGTTTGGTTCCTAGCACCCACATGGTGGTTAACAATCATCTACAACTCCAGTTCCAGGGGATCTAACATCTTCTTCTGCTCTTCATGGGCACTGGATAACATGAGTACACTTACACAGGCAAAATACTCATGCACATATGTTGGGAAACCCTGCTGTTAGGGTTGTAGTTCTCCATGTCCAGATAGCCCTAAGGGGCTCGGCGCCAAATGGAAGGACTCCCCTTTTCAGCAGGGGCCTCCTGCACTCTTCCTGACTTACCTGGAAAGTGCCACCAAGCACGGATGCCTCACCTTATTTGGAACATGACCTTTGGCATAGTTACCTGGAGTAAAAATTACCCTCAGGTTTTTTCCATATGATAACCACGCATTGCCTGGTAGTCGGATGATAGGAGCCTACTGCCACATGTAAATACAGCATACTATGAGCACCTATCAGCTGAGCCTTTGGCTACTACCTCCACACTATATTTTTCCTAGTTCTCCCACTGAATAAATTGCCCCCAGGTTTTTTCTACATGATAATTAGGCATTGCCCCATAGCCGGATGATAGGATCCCCCTACCACATGTAAATAAAGCATACTATGAGCACCTATCAGCTGAAGCTTCGGCTGCTGCCTCCATGCTATATTTTCCCTGACCCCCACTGAATAAACAGAGCTGTAGCACTGAGTCTCACTCCCCGGAAGGTCTTTTCCGTCATGCTCACTGGCCGTCCTGACCCCCCGTTTGTCACTTCTGCTCCCTTTGTCCTCATGGATCGGTGGCCAGTGGCCCTCGAGGGGAGGGAGAGACTCACAACTGGCGCCCAATGTGGGGCTCCTGGAATGCACGGAGTTTGTGAGTACCCCCTCTCTCCAAGAGGGTAGTGGCAGCTTTGCCTTGGCCATCCCACCCTTGAGGATTGGCAGTCTCTCCTTTCTTCCTTTTATTTTCTGTCTGAGTCTTCACATGAGACCGTTAAAGATGAAGGAGCAATTGAGGCTTTCTGATCAGGTGTACCCCCTGATGTTAGCCAAAGGCTCTTAGTCCTCTGTATGGACCATGACTGCCCGCACGGGTGTAGACAAGACCCCCTATCTATACATTTTTCTAATGCAAAAACCCGGTAACTCAACGACCAGTTAATTGCTCTTAGAGCAGTCGCCGGATCTCTTAAATTTGCGGGCAGGCTTGTGCTGTGGACTACGTGGAATCACCTGGGGTTTTGATGCCAGGCATGTTCCCTTAGAAATCAGCGTTTCACCCCACTTTCCTTTACTATCTTAAACAACACCCCTAGAAACAAAAATCCCCAAAGTTCTAAGGGATCTTTATATAAGCCTTAAAGTCAACTTCTAAAATAAACTTCCCTAATCTGTTTTGTTATCTTGCCCCTGGGGTGCTCAAGCCCAAGCTAAACCAGTTAGGTGAGAATTTAAGTTAACTAGCCCCTGCGGAGCACTTAAAAATTCAAGGTGGCTTGCACCATACAAACAAACAAAAAAAAAAATATTTTAAAAAGCCATTTTTTTTCCGTAAACCTTTTCCTGGGGAAGGGGCTCATCAGAGGACCACCCCATCTCTCTCTCTCTTTGCTTTATCTCGGTTATTGCCTTCGCGAGGGTCTGGATAAGGTTTGCGGGCAACTGAAGCCTCTTGGTCAGTGCGACTCCCTGATATTGGCCGAAGGACCCCTGCCCTTTTTCCAGACCCCGAAAGCCCGACTGGATGTAGGCAGTAACCTTTACAACTATCATAAAAATCTGGTAACACAGCAACCAGTTAAAAGTCACAAGGATGGTTGCCAGTCCCTTAAATCTGTGGCTAGGCTTGTGTTTGTCAGAACGTATCAATCCCCTGGTGGCAGGCTGCCCCAGGAACATTGAGCACCACTGACCACACTTCTTTTCTATAATGGGTAATTCAGCATCACGCCAAAAAAACCTCCAAATTCGCTCCCTTAGAGCCCTTTAGGGCTATCCAGACATGGAGAACTACAACCCTAACAGCAGGGTTTCCCAACACACATAAAATAAAAATAATTAAAATTAAAAACAAAATTTAAAACGATCTATTTATTATTTTTATTTTATATGTATGAATATATTGCCTGCATGTATGCAAGTGCACCCATGTCACGCAATGCCCTCAGAAGCCAGAAGAGGGCGTTGGATCCCCTGGAACTGGAGTTACAGAGGGTTGTTAGTTGCCACTTGGGTGTTGGGAACAGAATCAGGGACCACTGCAAGAGCAGGCAATACTCTTTACTGCTGAACCATCTCTCCAGTCCCCAAAAACAAAATTTGAAAAATAATTCTTAGAGAGTAACTATAAAAATAATCAAAGATGTCTATTGGCCATATGACCCCGAACATAGCCAATCTCAGAAACTAAGCAAGGTTGAACCTGGGCAGTACTTGGGTGGGAGAATAATCAAAGCCTCAAGTATATAGAAAAGACAGCTGTCACCACACAGTGGCACGCACCTCTAATCCCAGCACTCAGGACACAGAGGCAGGTGGATCTCTCTGAGATTGAAGCCAGCCTGGTCTACATCGTGAGTTCCAGACCAGCTCTGACTACAGGGAGACTCCATCTTAAAACTCTACCCCTTCCCACCCAAAAAGACAGTTGTCCTTGAAATGTTTTTTATTTTATTTTTATTTATGTGTATGTGGTGTTTCTGCAGGGTGGGGGACCTGAGAAGGCAGAAAAAGGTTTCCCTTCAACTGGAGGTATAGGCACTATGGGCTGCCTGATATGGTACTAGGAACCAAACTCTTGTCCTCTGGAAGGGCAAGAAATGCTCTAAACTGCTGAGTTGTCTCTTGAGCCCCTCAAGAAATATTTTTAAAAATTAGAAATATAGAGGGGGCTGGAGAGATGGATCAGCAGTTAAGAGCACTGGCTGCTCTTGCAGAAGTCCCAGGTTCAAATCCCAGCACCCACATATCAGCTAACAACTGTCCATAACTCCAGTTCCAGGGGATCCAACACCCTCTTCTGTCCTCTGCAGGCACTGCACAACACCGGTGCACTAACACACATGCAAGCATAAAATTCATACACAAAAAATAAAAATCAGTCAAAAAAAATTTTTTTTCTAATTAAAAATATGGAGACCAGCAAGATGGCTCTGCAGGTAAAGGCACTTGCTGCACAAGTCTGGCAACCTGAGATCAGTCCCTCAAACCCATGTAAGGTAAAAGGAGAGAATCAGGCCAGGCATGGTGGCACATGCTTTTAATCCCAGCACTCAGGAGGCAGAGGCAAGTGGATCTCTGTGAGTCCGAGGCTAGCCTGGTCTACATAGCAAGTTCTAGGCCAGCTGAGGCTACAGGGAGACCCTGTCTCAAAAAATACCAAAAAAAAAAAAAAAGAAAAAAAAAAAAAAAGAAAAAAAAAAAAAAAGAAAAAAAATAGGGGCTGGAGAGATGGCTCAGCAGTTAAGAGCACTGACTGCCCTTACAGAGGACCCATGTTTGATTCCTAGCACCCACATGGTGGCTAACAACCCTCCATAACTCAAGTTCCAGGGTATCCAATGCCTTCTTCTGACCTCCGTAGGCACTGTATGACATAAATGCACTTACACATATGCAGGCAATATACTCATACACATAAAATAAAAAAAATATATTTTTAAAAAAGAGCACTTGCTGCTCTTGGAGCAGACTTGAGTTTAGTTCCCAGCACCCACATGGCAGCTAACAACCACTGATAACTCTAATTCCAGGGGGATAAGATGCCCTCTTCTGACCTCCACCAGCACTATACGTACATGGTGTAAATACAAGCAGGCAAAACACTCATATACATAAAAATATAAACACACACGCACACACACACATACTTTTAGGCTGGACTTGGTGGTACATGTCTATAGCCCAACATTCACACCAGCACTGTGCGTACATAGTGTAAATATAAGCAAGCAAAACACTCATATACATAAAAATATAAACACACACACATACACACATACTTTTAGGCTGGACTTGGTGGTACACATCTATAGCCCAACATTCAAGAGGTAGCAAGGACAGAAGCAAGCAAATTTGTGAGTTCAAGACCATCCTGGTCTACCTAGTGAATTCCAGGCCAGCCAGAGCTACATAGTAAGACCTTCTCGCGCTCTCAAAAAAAAAAAAAAAAAAAAAAAAGAGGCAGCAAGTTCAAGACTAGCCTGGACTACATAGTGATTTCAGACCAGCCAGAGCTACATAGAGACCCTATCTAAAAAACAAAAAATAAACAAAAGGGGGCTGGAGAGTTGGCTCAGCGGTTAAGGGCACTAGAGGACCCAGGTTCAATTCTCAGCACCACATGGCAGCTACAAATCGTCCTAAACTCCAGTTCCAGGGGACTCTGACGCCCTCCCCTGACCTCCAGGTCATTGCACGACACGGGTGCACTCACATACATGCAGACAATACACTCATACACATAAAATAAAAATAATAAAATATATTGAAAATATAAATAAATGAACAAAAGTATTTTTTTCTGTGTTATGATACCCAGTAAATCAAATACGCTGGAGACAAGGAATCATAGATAAAGACTTCCTTACCACTTTCCTGAACTCTCTGGTAATCTTGAACAGGGCTTGAACACTCAGGTGTAAGGGGTGCTCTTGTTTCAACAGGAGCAAGAGAAGGCAACTCTTCATTTTGACTTTGGTTCATCAGCTGCCTCTGGTGAAACCTAAAAATCAATAATATTTGATGTCACATAACACTAAGAAAAGAAAGCTTTTCTGTTTCTTAGACAAACAATGATGAAAAGATAGAAATTTACAAATTTAAAAAGTAGGTACCTGTAGTCATTAACAAATTATAGTCTCATTTGAAAGATTTGTGTAAGAAAGGTTAAAACTAATTGTTAAATTATTAGACAAAAGACAGGCATGTGGCACATGTCTATAAATCCAGTACTTTAGTTCAAAGTCATCTTCTCCTACATAATGAGTTCAAGGCCAACCTAGTCTACATAATACCCTGCCTCAAAAAATCCACTAGGGAACTGGAGACACAGCTCACAGGTTGAGTGCTTACTGCTCTTTCAGAGGACCCGACTTCAGTTCCCAGCACCATTTACACAGCTCACAAGTGCTTGTAACTCCAGCTCCAGGAAGATCAGATGCCTTCTTATTCTACTTGAGGGCTCTGCACTCACATGTATAAACCTATACAGTATAGGTGTCCTTATATGAACATAATTTTATATGCAAAAACATTGAAAGTCTATACCTATGATAAAAGAAGTGACTACTAAATATTTCTGACCATGCTTGCTAATATTAGCATTTAAAAAGCTGTCTGAGGAGCTGGTTCAGCGGTTAAGAGCACTGGCTACTCTTGCAAAAAAACCTGAGTTTAGTTCCCAGCACCCACATGGTGGCTAACAATCATCCATAACTCCAGTTCCAGGGTATCCAACACCCTTTTGATTTGCATGCATGTGGTGCACTTACACAAATATATATATATATATAAATATATATATATATATATAATTTTAAAAGCAGTATGATGGATACATGTGTATTAAAAGACCAAGTACCTTTTTTGAGATGAAGCACAAACCTTGAACCACTCACATGGTAGGCAACTGCTCTACCACTGAGCTATAACTGACTCTGACAAAAACATTTTTTTAAATATTCCATTCCTTCATATCATATTGTTTAGTTCTCCCCAAAGAATCAATAAGTAATTAGCAATGCAGTTGCCATGGCACAAGTTACACTATAATTCAGCTTCTCTGTAGGCAAGGGGCCTGAGTACTCAGATGCGTGGGTCACAGGCAAGGGGCCTGAGTACTCAGATGCATGGGCCAAAGGTCTGGCCTCCAGCTTACTATCAGTAAAGACTCAGACGTATTTTCACCCATAAATCCATCAGCTGCCACAAATAAATGTGCTTACCTCTGTTTACTCAGAATCTTCTCTAATTTGGCATCCTCTGCAGTTTGAAGACCCAGTGCAGAAATGAGAGGACAGACTGTAGCCAGGTACTGGACAAGCTGGATGTGCTGTCCAGGCCGATATGCTCTCCCCTTGCCTTGACTATAGAGCCACTCAGCTTTCAAACTGGGGAAATGCAGTGGTGATGGTCAGAATGCATTGTTAAGCAATAGTGATCTTTCTAAATTACTATAAAACCACTCGGTGCCCATAAAATTCACTCAAATTTTTTAAATCCTTTATTTACTTATTCTTAATTAATTTGTGTGTGTATGTTAGTGTATATGCACATGTACATACAGAGGCCAGAGGTTGGTGTTGGGTGTCTTCTTCTACTGGTTACCACTTTATTTTGGATTTTTTTTTATTTTTCTTCATGTTCTTATTCTTTGAGACAGGGTCCCCCTGAAACCCCAGTTGGCCTGGAACTTGATACATAGACCAGGCTGGCCTCAATCTGAAATTGGCTTGCCTCTGCCTCCAGAGTGCTGGAATTAAAGGCATACACCACAATACCTGGCCCTTCAAGATTTTTTGGTTGTGAGCCTGAGCCTTTAAGGGTTGTGCCAGCTCTCCAGCACCCTTCAAGATTTTGTAATCTATATTTGTAACTCATTTCTCTTGGTCTAATGTTTTAAATTTGTTTCATACCTAGGGACACATAGTTTGCACTAGTGATTCCAAACATTTTTAAATTATTTTCAGCAGGGCATGATGGCTCATGCCTTTAATCCCAGCACTTGGGAGGCAGAGGCAGACAGATCTATGTAAGATCGAGGCCAGCCTGGTCTACATAGCAAGTTCCGCACCAGCTGGGGTTATAGGGAGACCCTGTCTCAAAAATACATAAATCAATCAATCAATCAATTAATTTTCAAAGAAGCAAGGAGCATTCTCTCCATTCACTTTGTCATATAAAAGTACCTAAACATACAAATTATGCTTAATCATAAGCTCATAATGGGTTTTTTTTGGGGGGGGAGTTGTTTGGTTTTTTGTTCTTTTTGAGACAGGGTCTCCCTGTATCCCCAGCTGTCCTGGAACTCACTATGTAGACCAGGCTGGCCTTGAACTCACAGAGATTTGCCTGCCTCTGCCTCCCGAGTGTGCTGGGATTAAAGGCGTGCTCCACCACATCTTTAATTTTAAGATACTAAAAATTAGAGCAGCCTATGGGTATAGTTTAGTTGGTAGAGTGTCCCTAGGACTGAATAAAGCTGGCATGTTAATATGCCTGTAATCCCAGCACCTGGGAGGCGAAGGCAACAAAATCAGGGCCAGCCTGAGCTACATAAGACCCTATCTCAAAAAGAGAGTGCGAAAGGGAGAGAGCGAGAAAAAGAAACTCACAAGCAATATCAATCAATCACAATATACTGTATGGCCTCCAGTGAACCATATTTTCATTTTAAAAATGCATTTAAGGGCCAGAAAGATGACTCAGGCAGCTTAAAAAAAAAAAAAAAGCGCTTGCTTTGCAAACCTGATGTCCTGAGTTCAATTCCTGGCACCTCTGTAAAAAGACTAGATGGAGTGACATGCATCCCTAAGCCTGGCCTTCCCCAGCAAAATGAGAGGTGGAAACAGGAGAATCACCAGAAGCTGGTGGGACAGCTGGCCTGGAGTATGCAGCAGAAACAACAGAGACCCTGCCTCAACAAGGTGGACGAAGAGAACCAACTCTCAAAAGGATCTCAGAAGCAAAGGACAAAACACATGCTGAGTCCAGGAATGCATACTTGTCTGTTCTGAGAGCAGAAAATGACATGAGGCATAGCACAGAGAACTGTGTCATCCCTTCTGTCTCTACATCCTCTTACCCACTTCCCAGTTTCTCCAAGGCTCTCTGGTTGAAGGTTCTGATGGTCATGTGCCAGTTTCCAAACAACCCAATCTTGTGGCAGAGTCCTAGCTCTAAGACTCAGAGACAATTAGAGATCTAAGGATGAGGGAGTTCCACTTCTGCTGGCTCCCGGGTATGAGAAGGGGAGAACCAAACAGCACAGTGTGCCTGCTAGGAATTCCAAAGTGAAATTCCATTTACGTTTCCTAGAGGCATCATTATAATGGGTATCTGAGTCCTAAGATATTAATACTTCCTTTACACATGATAGGCCACAAGCTTTTGTGAGATTAATCTGAGATCCTACACAATATCCATAACCTGGTTTCTAGGCAAGTGTTAACAATTTCCAAATAACTGATTAACAAAACAACTTTTAGAAAGTGGATTCTTTAAGTTTGGCATTCAGAATCACTAGCCCCAACCTCTAGAGCTGATATTTTTTTGTTGTTGTTAGACAGGCTCTCATAAGTACTTGCTATGTTGTCAAAGATGGCCTTGACTATCTGACCCTCCTGCCTTGAATGCACTACCATGGCTTGTCTTATGCAGTGCCAATGCACAAACCCAGAGCTTCAAGTATGCTAGGCAAGCACTCTACCAACTAAGCTATATTCCCTAGCCCTATTTTTTGTCTGTTTGTTTTTTGTTTGTTTGTTTATTTGTTTGTTTGTTTCAGGCACGCTCACATAGCCAAGGTTGGCCTGGAACCAACAATGTAGTCTAGGATGACTTCGAACTCCTAATTCTCCTGCCTCCACTGCCTAAGAACTGGGATTATAGGTAGGCACCACCACACCTGGCTCCTAGCTCTCTTATTCATTCTTTGTCTTTTCTGAGAAAGGAAAGGTCATCCTAAATAATCATTACATAATCTACACTGTGATTACATTAACGCTTTTAGTTTCTAATCACATGCTTTAAGAAATTCAGTTATAAACTGAACGTAATGGCACATGTCTTTAATCCCAGCACTTGGGAGGCAGAGGAAGGTGGATCTCTGTGAGTATGAGGCCAGCCTGATCTACATAGTGAGTTCCAGGACAGCTAGGGTTACAGGAAGACCCTGTCTCAAAATGACCAAAAAAACCAAAATCAGTTATTAATCTGTAGCAAATGAGAAATGATCTTTCCAGTAACTCCCATGATTGACACACATTAAACAGGTCATTTCACCTTTCTTTCTGAGAAATCATGTATCCATCTAGTACTCTGAGATTTAAGCACCAGCTGACGATGTACGGCCGGTAGTCAAACCCTGGAATGGAAGGTGTTGCCATCACACAAGGATTATTCATGATTGACAATTGCTCCAGTTCACTTAAAGAGGCCAAAAAGGAGATCTGCAACAAAGGACATCTTTGTTGAACAAAATGAGTATTCAGTGTCAAGCACAGAGCTTCCGCTGATTACATATCTTTGGTAGCATTTGACAATGTGACAATTTTCCTCTTGTTTTGAAGAGCATTGAGCAATACTCTACTATTAGCCACTAACTTCCAAAATTCTAATGTGACCATTTGTCCTTGTTGCACAATAGAAAGTAGTAGCACCATTTCCTGGTAAAGGAAACACTATTTTAATTTTTTTGAAGCACACTCTTATTTAGCCCAGGCTGGATTTGAACTTCTAATCCTCCTGCCTCCACTTACCAAGTACTGGGGTTACAGGTATGCATGACACACCTGGCTTAAGAAAATCCAATTTTAAAAACATAATAGTATCCAAGGGAAGGTGGTCAGGTTGCCTTTAGCCCCTGTAAAGTAGGTGTCTCTCTCCTACCAATCAATTCCCAGTGTGACAACTGCAGCATCATACATGCAATTCAGGCTTAATGACCCAATGGCATTGAAAAAAAGTGGAAAGTAGCTGGGCATGGTGGCACATGCCTTTAATCCCAGCACTTGGCAGAGGCAGGCAGATCTCTGTGAGTTCAAGGCTAGCCTGGTATGCATAGTGAATTCCAGGTTAGCTAGGGCTACAGGAAGACCCTGTCTCAAAAACACCAAAAAAGAAAAAGTGGAAAGAAAAATAAGTGTACTAGGGCCAAGTGTTTTGTTATGGCAGCAATTTCTCCCAGGATGTTCACAGTCTAAAGTGAGCCCAACAATCTCTTCTGTCTCTCCTGAGCTGTCCCTCTTTCTGAATCCCACAAAGCATCAACGTCTTCAAATTTTACCTCATTTAAGTCACGGATTTCATTTTCTGCCAGAGACAGTATAGAAAGACTTCTGGGTAGATAAGCAGGTGCCATTCTAAGAGAGGTGATAATGTTTCCATGTAAAAGCAAAGTCTTGAAAGGAAAAAAGAATGACAAATGAATAGATTACAAATAAATTGATTTATTTTGACATCAAAATGGTGCATGCAAGAATAAACAGATCTTGAGCCGGGCGTGGTGGCACATGCCTTTAATCCCAGCACTCAGGAGGCAGAGGCAGGCAGATCTCTGTGAGTTCAAGGCCAACCTGGTCTACATAGTGAGTTCCAGGACAGCTGGGGCTACAGGGAGACCCTGTCTCAAAAAGAACAACAACAACAAAAAAGAATAAACAAATCTATTTTTTTATGCTTCTCAACACACATAAATCAAAGATTAATACTCAGAAGGAGTCTAAGTGGTCACTTTCTCTTTTCATGCAAACATCTTATATTCACCAAGGAGTAAAAAACTTGTCCAAGAACATGCGTTTGATGGAGTGCCTAGCATGCTGTGAGATTTAAGTTAATACACAAAGTAATTTCCAACACACCTATTCATTTTCTTTTAAAACATCAAAATAGGGGCTAGGACGTTAGCTCAGTGGATAAGAATGCTTGCTCTGCAAGTGTGAGGACCTGAGTTCAAATACCTAACACCTATGTAAAAAGTCAGACACGCCTGATGGTGCATGTAACCCCAGCATCAGGGAGGCAGAAATAAGTGATCACTGGTCAAAAGAGTGAGCTCCTGGTTCAGGGAGAGGTTCTATTTCAAAGCAATAAGGTGGAGAGGGATAGAGGAAGACACCCAACAACCTATTCTGGCCCCTGCACTCATCTGCACAGTCAGGTGCATGCACCACACATATACACCACACACACACACACACAATCAAAACTAAACACAGATCAGGCATGGTGGTGCACGCCTTTAGTCCCAGCACTCCAGAGGCAGAGGCAAGCTGATCTCTGTGAGTTCAAAGCCAGCCTGATCTACATATCGAGCTCCAGGCCAGGTGAGGCTTCAGGGAGACTCTGTCTCAAAAAGACCCCCCCCCAAAAAAAAAGAGGTCACATAAAAAGCAACTTTCCAAAGGAGAAACACATAACCCACAACTTGTACCTCCCAACTACATTTTTTTGGTTACTAAAAGCTAGAGAAAGGTAGAAAATGTTACATTCGGGGCTGGAGAGAGAGTTCAACAGTTAAAGGGCACGGGCTGCTCTTGCAGAGGACCTAGGTTCAGTTCTCAGCACCCATATGGCTGCTAACAAGCATCTATAACTCCAGGTACAAGGGATTTGAAGCCCTCTTCTGGCTTCTGTGGATATTACACACAGTGGTGCACTTATATACATACAGACAAAACATTCATTTACACACACAAAAAAAATTTTTTTGGTCTTTTTGAGACAGGGCCTGTAACCCCAGCTACATCCCACAGAGATCCACCTGCCCCTACCTCCCAAGTGTTGGGATTAAAGGCATGTGCCACTATGCTTGCCCATAATAAAAACATTTTTTTAAAGAAAATGTTACTTAAGCTGGGCAAATTGGTGCACAACTTTAATCCCAGCACTTGGGAGGCAGAGGCAGGTGGATCTCTGAGTTCAAGGCCAACCTGGTCTACATAGCAAGTTCCAGGCCAGCTGGGGCTACAAGGAGACCCTGCCTCAAAAAGACCGAAAAAAAAAAAAAAAAAGAAAGAAAATATTAATTGCTGATAAAGCTGACTCATATTAAGTGAGAAAGAATCAAGCCCAAAGGCTGGAGCAATGGGACAGTAGTCAAGAGCATTTACTACTCTTGCAGAGGACCCAGGTTTGGTTCCTAACACCCACATCAGAGGCTCACAACCACCTATAACTCCAGTTCCAGAAGACTTAATGCCCAATTTTATCCTCCTGGGCACCTGCAGCACATACAGACAAGCAGGTACACACACATACACATAAATAAAAATATATAAATCTTTAACAACAACAACAAAAATATGTCTAAGAAGTCTAACCAAGACATTCTAAACATTCAAGATTCCGATTAAATATTCATGCCTTCGTCAAAAAAAAGCAACAAAAAGAAAAATCCACAAAATGTTCAATCATTTAGTTCATTTGAATTCTTTCACCATTTATCAGGACAGCTAGATACAGCAGATTGTTTAGAATTGTTGCTAAAAATATTTCTGCTCAAGATGTAGGGAAAACAGAAATTCTGATACTGTTTCTAAAGTTTTATGAATCTATCTGGTGCTAATAATATCCAATGAAGCAAAAACACAGCAAAATCCCTACATATGTTTTCTGAAGCTGATTCCATCTGTTACTTGGGTATGTGAAACAGTCCTCTCCATAAAAGTGCTAGATACTACTGTTTATTTATTCTTTAAGATTCACTTTTATTTTCAATTGTGTGTGTGTTCATGTTTGTATATGGGGATGTGCAGGTGGGTGATATGAGTGCAGTTACCCTTGGAGCCAGAAGAGGTCATTGGATCCCCTAGAGCTGGACCTTCAGGTTGTTGTGAGATGCCCGTGTGGGTGCTGGGAACCAAACTCTGATTCCCTGTAAGGGTACCAATAACCCCTGAACCATCTCTCCAACTCACATGCTTATTTATTTTAAGTGAGGTTAATTTTGTTAATTAATACTTAATACTGAAAAATAGCAACTGTGGGAGACAGGCTTGAGCCTAGGGTGAAAGTCTTATTGACAGCCATACAGCAGGCCCGAGGCAACAGCCCAACTGCTGGAACCACAAGAAACACCTTGTGACATTTGCTCCCATTGGCAGATCATGAGACTGATGTCTAGAGTTGCCACTCCCTAATCACCACCCTTGAAATCCAAAATTGTAACACTTAGCTATTGCAACAGTTAGGGTCACGTGGTTTCCAGGAATCCAGGCTCTGTAATATGAAACCCAGTATGCTAATGAAGCATCCTACCCGCTATTCTGTGATAGGACAGTAAGTCTGTTATGCTAATAGGATGCTAATAAGGTGTCCTACTTGCTGTACTGTGATAGGATGCTAAACCTGTTATGCTAATAAGGTATCCCACTTGCTGTGCTGTGATTGGACCACTACCCCTATATAAGCTTGTGCCTTCCTGCAATAAAGCAGACCTGCGTCACTGAACCTGGTCTTCTGTGTCTGAATGTAGCTCTGCGGACACAGTCTCCTCACCAGCCCTGGGGTCCAGGACCGGCAGAAGCAGCGACAACAGGAGGCAGCACAGGGCAAGCAGAAGAGCTGCCTCAGCCCAGGGCAGGCAAAGGAGTAGCCTCGACGCCCGTGAGAACAAAGGAGTGGCACCCGTGAGGAGCGACCACCGCTGGCGGTGACTGCAAGCAACTATTAACCCAATAGTTAACAAAAAAGAAAAACTCAGACAGCAAGACATGGTAATGCACACCTGTGAGTCCTGCAGTCTTAGTTACTCAAAAGAGGATCATTTGAGACCAGGAGTTCAGGACCAACCTGGACAACAGAGTGCCACCTCATCTCAAAAACAAAAACAGTGCTAGGAAATGGCTCAGCAGCTAAGAACACTGGCTGCTCTTGTAGAGGCTCCAGGTTCAGTTCCCAGAACCCACATGGCAGCTTACAACTGTCTGTAACTCCAATTCTAGGGACTCCAACACCCTCTTCTGGCCTCCATAGGCATTGTACACATGTGGTACACCTACATAAATGCAGGCAAAATACTCATACACATAAAAATAAAAATAAAATATATTTTCTAGAATTGGGGCTGGAAAGATGACTCAGCAGTTAAGAACACTGGTTGCTCTTACAGAAGACCAGGTTCAAATCCCAGCACCCACATGGCAGCTAACTGTCCATAACTCCAGTCCCAGGGGATCTGACAGCCTCTTCTGACCTTCGTGGGCATTGCACGATACGGGTGCACTTACCTACATGCAGGCAATACACGCATACACATAAAATAAAAATAATAAAATTTTTTTTTAAAGTTTAAAAAACAAAACAGAGTCTCAACTTTAGGACTGGTTACTTCTGCCAGGCATGGTAGCCCACACCTTTAATCCAAGCACTTGGGCGGCAGAGGCAAGCAGATCTCTGGGAGACTGAGGCCAGCCTGGTCTATACAGTAAGTTCCAGGCTTGCTAGGGCTATAGGGAGACCCTGTCTCAAAAAGGCCAAAAAAGAAAAAAGAAACTAATAACAAAAAGTTCCATACTTCAGCATGGTGGTACACACCAGCACTCTGGAGTCTGAGACAGAAGATTCATGGGTTTGAGAGGTTATGCTGGGCTTTACAAGGAAAACTTGTCTCAAAACAATAATAAACCAATTAATAACCAATCTGTTCTTAATACACAGTGTGCTGATTTTATGCCAATTAGACACTTCCCTTTTTTTTTTTCTTTTTTTCTTTTTCAGACAGGGTCTCCCTGTAGTCCCAGCTGGCCTGGAACTAGCCATGTAGACCAGGCTGGCCTTGGAACTCACAGAGATCCACCTGCCTCCGCCTCCTGAGTGCTGGGATTAAAGGCGTGTGCCACCACATCCAACCCAACACTTTCCTTTTTGTATCTTGTAATAAAATTTAAGAAGTGACATAGAAAACACACTTACCTTCAGAGATACCAACTTGGATACATCACCTATCTGGGGTATGTTATTATCTGATAAATCAAGGTGCTGTAGAGCTGTGCAACTATTGATTTGCTCCATGGCCTATTACAAAAAAATTATCACATTATTTAATGCACTGAAATAAAAAACTGAAAATTTCCCCTAATCCTTGTAACTGGGTCTCCTGTCTCCTCTTATTAGAAGCAGAGCAGAAAAGCTGAGCAAGAGAAAGGGGAGGAAGAGATAGTAAAATCTAGAAAACTGCCATGTGGCAGCTTTCAAGGCTACCAAAAAATCCATACCATCTCAAATATTTATACCTGAAGAAACTTCAATGGCATCTGACTGTTAGTTCAGAAAAGAACTTACAAATTTAAAATGAAGCCAAACAGCCTGTGTTTAAATTCTGGCCCTGCAACTTCTTGGATGTGTGCTTTGGGGCAAGTTATTAACTTCTCTGTGCTTCTACTTCCTTATTTACATAATAAGCATAATAACTGTATCTGCCACAAAGGCTGACATGAAGTTACTACAGATAAGGTGATTACAAAAGTACTTAGCACAAATTAGTTATTCAATAATCTAGTCCCCTCATGTAGTATATCAGAAAATAAGACACAGAATATTAAGTTACTCAAAATAATACAGTTCCTCTATGGTAGAGGTGGGACTAGAACCCAGGTAGATGTCTGTGAGTTCAAGGCCAGCCTGGTCTACAGAGTGAGTTCCAGGCCAGCTGGGGCTACAGGGAGACCCTGTATCAAAAAGACCCCCCAAAAAAATTACTTAAGAAGGCTGGGTATGGTGGCATACACCTTTAATCCCAGCAGAGGCAGGGGCAGGCAGATCTCTTTAAGTCTGAGGCCAGCCCTGTCTGCCTATCCAGCTCCAGACTAGCCAGAGCTACAAAGTGAGACCCTGTCTCAAAACAAACAAGCAAGCAAAGAATGTACTTAAGGTTTAATTCAGCAGAATACAATCTCTTTTCTCACCATCCTACTACTTGATCTGCTGTTTTTCACGTATAATACAGATTCTTTGTTCACATTTAAAAGAATATTATACTGTAGTACATGCTTCAAAATGGAGCGGTTTTGGTTTTTTGGTTTTTTGGTATTTTTCTTTTGTTTTGCTTTTTTTTTAACTTTTTTTTTTTTTTTGATGTGTATGAATGCTATGCCTGCATGTATGTAAGTGCACCCATGTCATGCAGTGGCCATGGGGGACAGAAGAGGGCACTGGACCCCCTGAAACTGGAGTTAGAGACAGTTGTTAGCTGCCATGTGGGTGCTAGGATTCAAAACCAGGTCCTAACTGCTGAGCCATCTCTCTAGCCTCTTTGCTTTGTTTTTTAGTCTATATTAATACAGATTATCTCTAGAGAGCATAAATAAGACACTTTCATTTTTTAATTCTACTAATTTTATACTGCCCAAGTTTCTTTTTCACAGAGAACAGATTTAAAATGGAAAACCATCTCAAAAATTAATTACTAAAACAAAATAAGCAATTCACCTTGAGATTATTTCCTGCCAAATTCAGCCATTCCAAATACACTAGTTCCTTGAGGCCTTCCACACAGCCAATACTATTATGAGGTAAATTTAATACACGGAGTTGAGTCAGTTTGGCCACACCCATCATCCGAACTAGTCGATTATTAGCTACTGACAACTGTGGAAAGAAAGAATGCCATTATATTATTCCTAAAAACTGTGTGTGTGTGTGTGTGTGTGTGTGTGTGTGTGTGTGTGTACACATATATGCACACAGACTAACACACAAGTATTACTTTCACATTATGGCGGTAAAGTTTGTTCAGATGCCAAATATTTTCAAATACACAAATCTAATTTATATTTTTCACACATACTAGTCAAAATTCTATGACTGGAAATGTCATAGGCCTTAGAGGGGAAGCTATTACTGTCTTCTGCTAAATGGACATGATGTGCCTGTCAAATTGTCTTCTAAATAACTACAATTATGCCTATAGAATAATGCTGCTGTGCCAGGCATGGTGGCACATGCCTTTAATCCCAGCACTTGGGAGGCAGAGGCAGGCAGATCTTTGTGAGTTCGAGGCCAGCCTGGTCTACATAGTGAGTTCCAGGATGTCTGGGGCTACAAGGAGACCCTGTCTCAAAAAGACAAAAGAATAATGCTGCTGTCTGTCAGCTTTAGTCAGGAAAGCTTCTTTTAGCAGTGGTCAGTAATAACTTCAAAGACTCATAACTGGTCAAAGTATAGAGAACAAATACTGTTGAATGCCCAGCCATAAATGGGATGTCTATAACATTCCCTTCAAAACTTAGGGATCATGGTGGAAGAAGGGATGGAAAGAATGTAACAGTGGGAAGAAGGATGGGGGAGGGGTGGAACAGTGACTTCCAGGTCTGGCATGGCTGTTTATACTCTTGAACTCACAGCAGAACAAGATCTCCATAAGACTGAGCTCCTCGATATGGGGGGGGGGGGGGCATGAGCAAGCTCAGGAGGCCCCATCCCTCCCTGAGGATTTATAGGCAGGTTAATGATGGACAGAGAAGGGAGAGACATTTTCTTCATTGGTATAGCCACTGGTAAGATGCCCATGCTCTTATAAATACACTCTCACCCATGCTCCTACAAACAACCTAATGAAACGCATGGGGTCACACACACAAAAAGACATGAGAGTAGAAGGCTGAGTAGCTGAGAAGAGAAAGAGATTAGCAGGAGTGTAAGGATGACACGATTGGGTAACAGGCGAATATGAATGAAACACATTATGCACATATATGGAAAAAAATGAAACCTTTTATTATGTATAGTTAATATATACTTAAAAATTTTTATTTTTATTTTTTGAGGGGTCGAGACAAGGTTTTCTTGTAGCCCCAGCTGGCTTGGAACTCACTATGTAGACCAGGTTGGCCTCAATCTCACAGAGCTCCACCTGTCTCTGCCTCCCAAGTACTGGGATTAGAGGCTTTGTCAACACCACCACCACCCTGCTCCCCCACCACACCCTGTTTTTTTCCTTAACAAAGCTTTTTTTCTACTCTACTGTAAAGGCAATGTGTTCATCTTCAAGAGAAGCAATTTAAGGCAACATTTACACTATCCAGGTATGTATTTTTTGTTTTACTTTGTCTAATAATAAACAAGTCCTGTGTAACAATTTCCCAAATAGCAATACTTACCTGTATTAATCGTTTACATTTCTCTAGATTTTCCAGTTTAATAATCTGATTTTTATCCAGAATCAAAGTGTGAATATCAGCTTCACAGGGCAAGTTTGGACCTAATTTCTGTAGTCCCTGTCCGGACCAATTCACCACTGATCCTTGAGAAGAAAAGAGAACATATTAAAAAGTAAAACGGGCCAGGTGTGGTGGCGCACACCTTTAATCCCAGCACTCGAGAGGCAGAAGCAGGAGGATTTCTGTGAGTTCAAGGCCAGCCTGGTCTACATAGTGAGTTCCAGGACAGCTGGGGCTACAGGGAGACCCGTCTAAAAAAAAAAAAAAAAAAAAAAAAAAAAAAAAAGTAAAACGGGCTGGAGGGATAGCGCAGCGGTTAAGAACACTGACTGTTCTTGCCGAAGACCCAGGTTCAAATCCCAGAACCCACATGGCAGCTAACAACTCTCCATAACTCCAGTTCCAGGTAATCCGGCAGTCTCTTCTGTCCTCCATGGGCATTGCACGACATGGGTGCACTTACCTACATGCAGGCAATACACAAATACACATAAAATAAAAGTAATAAAAAATATTTTTAAAAAAATAACAAAATAAAAAAATTTTTTAAAAAGTAAAACAAGCTAGGTGTGGTGGCACACGCCCAGAGGACCCAGGTTCGATTCCCAGCACCCACATGGCAGCCACGAACTGTCCTTGACTCCAGTTCCAGGGAAATCTGAGGCCCTCTTCTGATCTCCGTGGCACTGCACGACACGGGTGCACTCATATACATGCAGGCAATACAAAAAAAAACAAAAAAAAAAAAAAAAAAAAAAGTAAAACAAATAACTGAGCTTAGCATTTTATACTAAGAATCTCTATTCAAGTTTTAAAAAACACTAGAGCATAAGAAGTATCAAGAGTTTAAAACTATAGTAATGAGTTATAGCCTAGCCTGTAATTTGTAATTTCTGAGATAAAATGTCAACCTAACCACACATTTTATCTCAGAAATTACAAATTACAGGCTAGGCTATAACTCAAAGGTAGAGCACTTGCATAGTCTATGTAAGGCTCTTCGGTTCTCTGTATTTTGTACCTAACAATAGCATTTTAAAATACAACTAGCACCGGGTGTGGTGGTGCACGGCTTTAATCCTAGCACTTGGGAGGCAGAGGCTGGTGGATCTGTGAGTCTGAGGCCAGACTGGTCTACATAGTACGTTCCAGGCCAGCTGGGGGCTACAAAGAGACCCTGTCTCAAAAAGACCAAAAAATAAATATAAATAAATAAATAAATACATAAATAAATGAATAAATAATAAAACTAGCACAGATATGGTGAACATTCACACAAACACATAAAAATAAAATGAATCTTTTAAAAAGGGGGAGGAGCTGATTTAGTGATTATGAGCCCCTGGTGCTCTTTCAAATGACCCAGGACCCACAACAAATAGCTCACAACTGCCTGTAACTCCAGCTCCAGGTGATCTGACACCCTCTTCTGGCCTTGCTGGACACCCACAAATGGTATACATTCAGAAGAACACACATATATAAAAGTAAATAAAAATAAAAACAAAATCTTTAAAAATAATGTCTTTTTTTTTTTTTTTTTTTCATTGTCTTTTTGAGACCGGGTCTCCATGTAGCCCCAGCTGGCCTGGAACTCACTATGTAGACCAAGCTGATCTTGAACTCACAGGGATCCACCTGCGTCTTCCTCCTGAGGGCTGGGACTAAAGGTTTGTGCCACCACACCCAGCTTCTACTTTTTTATATTTAGTTTGTTTAGTGGTTTTGTTTTTGTTGCTGTTTTGTCCTGTTTCTTTCTTTCTAGTTGAGACAGGATCTCACTAACTCAGGCTAGCTAAAAATCTCCATGAGGGTTGAAGCTTGGTCTTGCCTCCATCTCCCAAATACTGAGATTACAGGTATCTCCACCCCAGGTCCTAAAACTGACTTTTTATAGAGATGAACCTCTTTACAACTGCAAATATATCTTAAAGTATCCAAAGTACTGGGTGTGTGTGTGTGTGTGTACCCAGGCATCCCTGAGGAGAACAGAGAAGGATGCTGGATGTCCTGTTCTATCACTTAGCCTTATTCCTGTGACAGTCTCTCACCAAAACCCGAAACCAAGACAGAGGCCATCAAGCCCCAGTAATCCTCCTGTCTCCATCCCTCCTATGCTGGGGTTAGAGACCCCAGAGGTCTTCTGGTAGAGGTGCTGGAAATTTGAACTCAGGTCCCCAGTGCTTTCACAGCTGTGCTCTTACCCACTGAGACTTCTCCTCAGCCCTCATTTAGTTTTTTGATACAGGGTCTCTCACTGGCCCAGAGCTCACCAAGTAAGCTAGGCTGGCTCCTCAGCAAGCCCCAAGGATCTATATGCCTGTCTCCATCATCCCATCATCATGGGATTAGGGGCTGAACTCAGGTCCTATGCTTGCATGGCAGGCATTATATGAACTGAGCTGTCTCCCCAGTCACTCCAAAGTATTTTGAAAATCAAAGAACAGTTAATTCATCTAAAAAACAGAATGATTCTCCTATTTCACAGTTAACATGAGGAAGCCACATAAACAGTAGTTAGCCTTAGATCTGGCACGAAGCACTAAGGCACGTTAGCAGGAATTCAAACCCTGGCTCCACTGGTTAACCTTTGCTGGCAAGTTACTGGCTCTTTTTTAAATTTATTGTTTCATAATATGAAGACTACAAGATAAAGGTATTGGCAAGTTTGGTAATTGAGACCTTTCTCCTAGAGGGTTTTTTTCTTCACTGTCCTCCAATCGCTGATCACTTTCCTGGCCTCTCTCCCCCTCTCCTTTTTTCTCTTCTCTTCCCCCTCCCCCATTTCCTCTTTTCTATTCTGTGAGATATGGGTGATAATAATACAATATAAACTGTTCTACATAAAAACGTGTGATGATGTAAGAAAAGCACCCTGAACATCATCTGACTTAAAAAGTAGTTCTATAGACAGACTGCTACTATCGTCTGTTACGACGTTGTTTTGGTGGACTAGAAAGACAGTTTAAGAAAAGCAGCTAGGAGGGGCGGAGCCAGAGTAACTGCCAATTTCAAGTTTATAATCAGATTGGGACTACTGTAGGAAATAATTTGGTGAGACGGCTCTAGGGGCTTTCAATGTTTTCCGGTTTTCTTATCATGTGAGGTGTCGAGAGCTCCACTGAGAAGGATGAAAACTGTGTTGTCCCAGAAAGTGCACCCTGCCTTCGTACACTGTTCTGAAGGGTCAACACACCTCTTAGACCAACTCCTCGCTCCAAGAATTTAGGGTCTCGGATAAAGAGCCCCCGACTGTCCCCATCCAGCCGGCTGCTACCACGCCTCGGAGTGTAACCAAAACAAAAGCTCAGGTCCGGCGCCCACAGAGGAACAAAGTCCAAACTCGATCCCAGTACCCAGCCTGCAGAACCACGGGGGAGCACAGAGGACTCGGGGTCTCCCCAGATTCTACCACCGCTACTGTTCTCTTCCAGGAGTTCAGGAGGTCTGTATAGAACGGTATCAGATGAAATGTTTGCTGAACATTCTTGGAACCCACTAGAAAGAAGGGCGCGGGAAATAAAAGCTTGCCGATTTCCCTTGGTACTCAGAACTCTAAGTAAATGTCCCAGAAAGGTCGCCCCAGCACGAAGCCCTTCGCCCAGCCAGGCAAGGGAGCGCCGGTCAAGAGAAGGCTCCTGGGGGCTGAAGTCCCTCAACCTAACTATCACTGCAAAGCTGCAGAACTGGACAGCACAACGAGACTACAATTCCCAGAAGGTAGCGCGCCTCCGCACTGCCTACAGTCCTGCATCAAAAGAACTGGTCCAAAACTGCACCTCTAAACCCAGGATTCCTCTCTACACCAAGCACCGCTGAATTTAGCTTAATGAAGTAAACCTTGGAATTCAGGGCCTGGGGATCATCTTACCTTCTCCGGGAGGCAAACCCACATCGGCGCGCGCCACCGCCATACTTGGAGTTTGCTAATGACACCAGGCAACCGTCCACCACCGTTCAGTGGAGCTTGTAGTCGGCCGTAGGGACCTGAAAACTACAACTCCCAAGATGCTCTGCACTCAGACGGTTCCCATTGGCTGGCTACCTGACGAGAATCCCGGGATAGACTCTGAGAGGTACAGAGTTTAGGGACCCTGGCTAAAACCCTGATTTGAGGGGTGAGCAAACTGCATTGTTTAGGTGATTGGTTCACTTCACGTCCAGGTGTTTGCGAAATCTGACACCTTCACCATCTGGAGCATTATAAGGACGTTAGTGTAAAGTGAATTTGAAAGTTCATTGCCAGAAGTCGCTATAGAAGCTAGCCCTTCTTTTGACAATTCTGAATTAAGTTTAAAGGTTTCGGGTTCTTTATAGGAATGGCTTAGGGCTCTTGCTGAGACCTTCAAAATGGATTGTATTTGAGATTTTAACTAATAAAATAGATTTAAAGCCTGCAAAAAATTTTTTTTTTTTTTTTTTGCCTTTTTTTGAGACAGGGTCTCCTTGTAGCCTCAGCTGTCCTGGAACTCACCATGTAGACCAGGCTGGCCTCGAACTCACAAAGATCCGCCTGCCTCTGCCTCCGAAGTGCTGGGATTAAAGGCGTGCGCCACCATGCCCGGCAGAAAAAAAAAAAATTTCTAAGTGACTGTTCTTACGTATTTAACAAGCTTTTGACCAGAGAGTAAATTCAATACATATGTGTTTGGAACTTTCCCTGAAGTATTTAAAAGTTTAAAATAGTCTCCAAAGTAAGAAATTACATTGCCTAGTTGGAGGGGAATAGGATTACCCCATTTATTTAAGTATGAACCCAGTAAACTATCAATTGATAAAGAATGAAATGGAAATTGAAATATTCAGGAAAGACCTGATAAGGGACGTGAAATGAAGCTAGGGCTTAAAAGATGGGCAGACTCCAGCCACGATTATGCATACCTTTAATCCCAGCACTCCAGAGGCAGAGACAGGTGAATCTCTGGGAGTTCAAGGGCAGCCTGGTCTACATAGTTCCAGGGCAGCTGGGACTACAGGGAGACCCTGTCACAAAAGGATAAATAAATAAATAAATAATGAGCAGGCTCAAAATTAACTCATGAATAGAAGGCCAAAAGGTATTAGCACAAAGAGAGCTTCCACTTTCTACACCAATTGCTGTATGTTCTTGCAAACATCATACTAAACTCCCCTCTTGCTGAAATACCACTCTCCAAGCCTGAAATTTTCTGTTTAGGAAAATCCAAGTAAGGGGCTGGAGAGATGGCTCAGTGGTTAAGAGTGCTGGCTGCTCTTGCAGAAGACCCAGCACCCACATAGAGACTAACAACCATCTGTAACTCCAGTTCCAGGGCATCAGTCACCCTCTTCTGACCTCAGCGGGCATTGCACAACCCAGGTGCACTTACATGCAAGCAATACACTCATGCACATAAAAAATTAAAAATAATAATTTTTAAAAATCCAAGTAACTCAGGCTTCTAGGTCTTCAGGTGTGTGATTCTGCGAGAACATACTCTTTCCTGGATTCCTGTCTCTTTCTTTGATGCCACTGCCCTTAAAAACCTTTTCTGTTTCCCATTTGTTTAGTCTAAAGGCAGTCTTCTAGTTCTAAAGAGGGAATAAGGATCCTCCATTCTTTAACCAAGGGACCCTTTACCTGAAGAACCCAGGCCTACTATATTATATGTGTAAGAAAAAGAAGTGTGAATAGTGCCCCCTACTAATTCGTTTTCCCTAATGTCGACATAAAAAAAAAAAAAAATTCAGAGAGGTGAGATGACTCAAGTATGCAAAGGAACTTGCTGCCAAGCCTGACAACCTGATTTCCATCCCCAAAAGCCACATGGTGGAAGAAGAGAGCCTACTCCAGCAAGTTGTCCCCTGACCTCTACACATGTCACACACACTAAGTGTAATTTTTAAAAAATCAGAGCCAGGTGTGGAAAGTACTCCTGTGGCTGAGGGAAGAGACTAGTTCACCAAGGCCAGCCTTGGCTTCATAGTGGCACCCTGTCTCAAACATCAAGAAAACAAAACAAGCAACAACAATAACACCCAGATAAATTCTCCAATGACTAATTTTACTTATTTGGGGACAATGTTATACAGGTGTGTCCACCTTTTTAACATTGTAACACACCATCATTTGCAAAATTCACACAAGAATCACCCAATTGAGTTACAAAAAGAAATCACAAAAAAACACAGCAAAGCCAGGCATGGTGGTGCATACCTTTAATCCCAGCACTTGGGAGGCAGAGGCAGGTGGATCTCTGTGAGTTCGAGTCCAGCCTGGTCTACATAGTGAGTTCCAGGCCAGCTGGGGCTACAGGGAGACCCTGTGTCAAAAAACAAAAAACAAAAAAAAAACCACAGCAAAATGTTTTAAGTAAGTTTATGATTTTTGTACTGTGCTCATTCATAGCTCTCCTGAGGCACTTATGGCTCACTGGACACAGATAGAGTGAACTCACCTAAGCCCTGCTCTTCCTTAACCTCCAGTTACCTTTCCTACTGCTTCAGCCCATAAATGTTCCCCTCCTAAAGGAAGCAGATTCAAGACTTGTTCTCCTGACTTTACATATTTAGATGACATCTGAATCAACACTGTCCCTTACAAAATTTATCCTTTCTGTGGTAGGTGTCATGTATGGTGACCAAAACTGGCCAGGTTCAGTAATATTCAAGGAAGTTGAGGTCAGGGAATGTTTGGGTTTTATTTTGTTTTCCCTGAAGTACTAGGGATCGAATCAGTGTCTATGTGCTAGGCTAGCACTTTACCATTGAACTACATCCCTAGTCCAAGGGAAAGTTTTTAAAGAAAAAAAAATAAGGATAATTATGTCAGATATTTTTAGGACAATAAACCGTAGTGACAGTGATTTAATTAGAAGAGCAGTGTCAGAGGCTGAAAACACAGTTGCTGGACAGGTCCTCGTAGAAGTACATTATGTATATGGCTGTGGTAGCATCAGTGGAAGCTTGTGGTTCAGTCTTCTACAATGTTAATGATGAGAACAGGAGATACAAATGTCACCGTAGCAGTGAATGCCCAATAAGAGAAAATGATTTCTCTGGGTAGAGACCTAACATTCCATTTGGGCAATTCAGTCATCTGGCTAAAGGACCACCTTAAGCCATGCTCAAGGGATAGATGGAATAATTATCCCTTTCTTGAAATAATGCCCCTTTCCTTCCCAGAACTCCTACCCCCTAATGCAGTCTCTTACGAAGCACCCATGTAACTGCTTCATGAGTCTGCTTCTCTAAATCACTCAGAAAAACCCAACTTCTCTCTCTTTTTTTTTCCTTTCTGGTCTTTTTTGAGATAGCTCCAGCTGTCCTGGAACTCACTATGTAGACCAGGCTGGCCTCAACCTCACAGAGATCTGCCTGCCTCTGCCTCCCTAGTGCTGGGACTAAAGGCATATACTACCATGCCTGGCTTCCTTTCTCTTTTCTAAGCATGCTTTGCCTAACACTTTGGATTTCACATTTCTAGAGCTCCTCTCCCAGTCAATGTGGCTGCTTGTCTGCCATGTGGCTGACCTCCATGTTGGCCTAACTCAAACAGCATGACTTTTTCTCTTCTTCTCTATCTCCCTCCTCCAGTCAGCTGCCAAGTTTTTTTTTTTGTTTTTTTGTTTTTTGGGGTTTTTTTGTCTTTTTGAGACAGGGTCTCCCTATAGCCCCAGCTGGTCTGGAACTCGCTATGTAGACTAGGCTGGCCTTGAACTCATAGAGATCTGCCTGCCTCTGCCTCCCAAGTGCTGGGATTAAGGGTATGTGCCACCAAGCCCAGCAACTGCCAAGATTTATACCCTGGGGGCTGGAGTGATAGTTCATTGGTTAAGAGCACTGGCTGCTCTTGTAGAGGACCCAGGTTTGAATGCCAGTACCCATGTGGTGGCTAACAACCATCTGTAACTCCAGTTACAGGGGACCAAATACCCTCTTTTGACTTTTGTGGGCATTGCACAATAGAGGCGCACTTACATACATGCAGGCAAAACACTCGTACACATAAAATAAAAAATAAATTTAAAAAAATATAACATGCCTGTTCGGAGTTTTCCTTTCAAATGCTAATAAGACTGTCCTTGTGGGGCTGGCGAGATGGCTCAGCTGTTAAGAACACTGATTGTTCTTGCAGAAGACCCAAGTTTGAATCCAAGCACCCACATGGCAGCTAACAACCGTCCGCAACTCCAGTTCCAGGGGATCTGACAGCTTCTTCTGTCCTCCTTGGGTATTGCATGACATGGGTGCACTTACCTTCATGCAGGCAATACATGCATACACATACAATAAAAATAAATAAATAAAATATTTTTTAAAAAGACTATCCTTGAATTTCATTTTGAATCTGTTCTTACATCATTTTTTAGAAATATCAGTTCCATATTTAATCAATTCAATTCCTTCATTTTTATTTACTGATTTTTAAAATTTTTATGTATGCGTGGGAACTGATAGATAAAAAAGTAGCCATATGATGAATAGTGTTGATCAGGAGAAAGCAGAGTTTATTAGCAAAGGAACACATGGACAGATTCTCTTCCGGGCAGGGAAAATGTCTGCCTGGGTCTTGAGCTGGGGTCTTTTAAAAGGGGAGGCTTCTGCTTCCTGCAGAAGGCAGGAAGATTTTTTTTTTTTTAAGTTGGGTGAGGGGAAGTGGGAGAGCAGAACTGTGAAAACCTGTCCTCTTTAGAGATCAAAAGGAAGCCTGCTGTGTTGGCCAAACAGTGGAGAAAAGTCCGCTTCTCTTGACTTCAAAGACCAGGGTGCTTATCAGCTTGGTTCCCTTTTCCCAGGAGCATGAGAAGTCCTTGAGCTCCTGTTGGCGAGGGGACAGGGCTATCTGAACCTTAACAGGAACATGTGCCCACCGGGGCCAGAAGAGAGCATCAGGTCCCCTGGAGCTAGAGTTACAAGCAGTTGTGAGCCACCTCACCTGGGTATTTGGAAACTGAACTGAGATCCCCTTAAAGATCATTATCTGCTCTTAACCTCTGAGCCTTCTCTCCAGTCCCTTAAATTCTTTTTTTTTTAATTAAGAT